CTTTGACATGAGACTTGTGAGTGTCATGCACTGGTGGCTTCATGAGTTTTTGATGTGAGACCTGTGTGTGTGTGTCATGCACTGGTGACTTCATGAGACTTTCATGTGAGACTTTCATATGAGATGGAGTGATTTCTGAGGTCAGCTTCTTGCTGGCTATGGTTTTGGGGGCCAAGATGCAATGGGGTCAAGACAGGTGGAACAAACAATAAATTTAATTTTGATTATATTAAATTTCCTCTTTAAAGAACTGAAAATAAAAGATAGAAAATAATAACTAAAAGTGCAAAAAAAATGATGGACATGAGCAACAATATGTTGGGAAGGTGCTAATAAGTGACTTTAAGAGTTTCTATATGATAACAATATGTCAAAAGGTGAGGTTGCAATTTTGAAAACCCTTATGTGGCTAAACCCGGCTGATCTGGGGTATTGATTTGCTTGGCTGATTCAGAGACCTTCGGTCGGTCGATCCGTTCGGAGCCGGATTCGCTTCGCCGAGGCGTGTGGTCCGCGCTACAGCGTCTTGGAGTATGGCCCAGCCTTTGCGGCGGACTCCACGATGATGCCGGAGGCCATGAACAGTCCGACGAGGTAGAATGTGAGGTAGGTGACGGTAGGTGTGTGTATTTTGTCGATTTTTGGTTGTAAACGTTTTGTGTGACGTCTAGTGTCAGTGTCATGATTCTTAGAACTACCTGGCCTGTCGGATGTCGTGGTGAAGTAGCCAGGCTTTTCAACGGCATCTCTGACACATAATCCACCAGTTCTTGATGCGTTACATTTACGCTTTTGGATTCCTAAGCGACCTCAAGTTGGGGCTTCCAGTTCGATCACTTTTGAGTGACCCGAGTCTGAGAGAGTGACCGATGCAGTAGGTCTTTTGTGTGATCACACGCGGAACCGCGTCGTCGCATGGGGTTTGGGTAGGTCAACATCACCGAACTGGAGCGGATTGAGCTTTTGCCCTTGGACCTGGCACGTGGCTTTGCCCGAACCTTCGTTTGGAGGATGTTCTATCTTGCGGGCCCCCGGAGAGGAAATTTGGGTTGAGCGGGTGGGGTTAGACCACGAAATGACTTCGGTGTCAGGTACCCAGAATCATTTCCTGGATCCAGGCATGCGATTCTTTTTCATCGTTTTCAGGCCATGAAGAGGTCATATCCTTTATACTTGATGCCTTGGGGGGTCCCCCACCCCCTCAAAACCCTGAAATACTGATTGAGGTAGAAAGGCGCCGTCTCTATGATCTTAAGTGCACAAATAAGCAACAGACTCACATAAACATACATAAACATGGCCCGATTCTAAGGAATCATGTGAGCACTCTACCTTTCTCTCGTAAACTCATTAGCCTGTGCGTTCGCGTGTGCCCACTGGACGGCAACTTGCGGATAAAACTGCCCCACAGGTATCAGAACATCAGAACATGTTACTTTGCTATGTGCACTTTGCATGGGTTCTTCTACACCAAAAAAAAAGACAATTGAACATAATTGAACGATGTAATTGCCCAGTGAATCTTCCGACAACGGCCCGAAATTCCGTATTGGGGAGCACTTGTATTTATTGAGAGAACAAGTGTTTGATAGGTCTCCCTTTGGAATCCCTCAACCAGGAATTTAGCAAGCCAGAATGCTTGCCATTTAGGTTGCGCCTGCAACCTCAGCCCAAGGCTCAAACCCCTGAGACTGTTTCTGGGCGCTAACTTCGGCACACAAAAAATTAAAGACATGACTTCAGCTTGAAAGGATTGTATTGAATAAATAAAGTCCTGCGTCAAACCTTTAGCGGATTTTAGCGCTCTATTCAACCCCAATTATGTTGAGCTGCAAGATCTTTGTCGTAAGGTTTTGTTTCAGTGTGCTGACATTACTTTACTTTGACAAGGTCTTCCACGTCTCGAAATTATTCGGTATTGGTCTGGCCCTGTACAATATCGAGACGTCTGAAAGCATAGCCACATGGCGTTCCATGCAATAGCAGCAGATCGCACTTATCCAGATCTGCACATTCACAGCTGGGGTCTCTATATGGCACGTTGTTCAGCATGAAACTTGCAGAAGCATGTCCCGTTTAAGGCCAAAATCTGCGTTTTTGAGCATGGAAATTGCGTAAACATGTCCCATTAGTTTAGGCCCAAGCCAGTGTGTTTGTCTATGCAAAATGCGTAACCACCTAAGCAGGCCACGCATAGCGCACTTGACCCCCGGGGGGGGTTGCGAGGGCTGGAGCCAAGTCCACATACATGCGCGCAAAAGTGGTGTGCGTCGAGCGCGGGTGTTGCGCAACGGAAACCAAGTGTTCCGCCGGAGACCCCCCCCGTTTGCCTCCTTAACCCGGAGACGCTTAGGCTCTTCGTTTTCGGCCCAGAACCGTGCCTTTGAGCATGACAATTGCGTAAACATGTCCCGCTTAAGGCCTATTAACCCGCGTCTTTGACCAAGAAGATTGTTTTGATCTTGCACCCCTTAATTAATGACCAAGCCTGCGTTTGCGACCAGGAAAATTGCAAAAACATCTCAAAGGACAAACCAAAGGAAAAAGGAAGCTGTCAGACCAAATGGGCTGAAGTCGATCCACAGTGGCTCTATATCATGCGCACCAATAACATTTTACTATCATTTTACTATATGAATATGTTTATACCTTTGCACCTGCGCTCTGCGTGCAACCCTGGGCTCCTGACATCTCCTTACCCCACCCATCGCCACTGCCACGCTATTGACCAATCCAAAAGGACGTGAAAAGCTCTCTCCGAAGCCGCCGGCTAAGTGCCAAACGTTGCTTTTGGGGGCCAGCTAAAGGCTATAGGCTATATCTACCTGAAACCTGGTTCTGCCCTGTTGGCCCACTCCTCGCCACGCAACACGAAAAAGCGTTCCAAAGCTGCTTGCTCACTGCCAAAGGTCGCTTTCGGATGCCTATATAAGCTTACGTTCGAGGCATCATGCAACCACAACTGAACTTCTTTGGCGCGCTCCCCACTATCGGCTGGGGTTATATTGAGGATGAGGGAACTTGAACTATAGAACATATTTCCTCAATCAGTTGGGAATTTATTGGGGCACGGTCAGATTGAACATGCTTCTCCATCGTCCACCGACATTGTTTGCAACGCGGGGGAGGCAAGGTCGAACGAGCAATTTCTTACAAAGTTTGGGCATTACCATCGCACCAAAATTAACATCAAATCACGCTGGCAATGTTGACTTGAACCGCCTTCCTACATTGGCCCTTGGCACGATTTGGCTCATTGTGCACATGGCCAAGTGCCCAATGCTTTGACCATCGGAAAGGAAGACGTTAGTGGAAACCCAAACAGAAACAAATGGTTGCAACATGTTGGAACCCAATATGATCAATATGGCAATTGAGATCCTTTACATAAGAATGTGGTTGGTAAAAGGGTCAGCCAACGGGCCTGGCGCCATCTTCACGATTGTTATATGTGGGTGATCCCATGTGCCATGCCATGTGATTCCCTCACCCAGCGGGTTTTTGCAGCTGGGTTATGCCATGCTGGAAACCGCGTTTTCTCCGGTGTTCTGTGGAGTGACGTACCCAGCACAGTGAAGTGTTCGGTCTGAGAGGGCAGTTTCTTTTGTTTCGCAGAGAGAAAGACTATAGACATACCTAGAACCCATTTGACCTCCTTTTTACTAGGACGTCCCTCTCACTATGTGTTTTTGTTCACCTGTCACCTTCAAAGTTTGATCTTCAATGTGGCCATGTTTAACACAGGGTGTCATTTTGTACCCTTGTTGAGCAAAGAACTCCTGCACTGCAATAATGCCCCGTGTTGTGGATTTTATGAGATATAGAAACTAGGAGGTTTATGGACATTAATTTGCAACAAAGATAGACACCGACGCAACTGGAAGAGTTTATAACTTTATAACAGTTTTAAACCAAACAAAACACGTGTTTTTTTGACACCTCTTGCTGAGGCTCCTTAAGCCACGAGGGCCTGCAAAGCGACAAGGCCAACCGGTGAAGTGTAAGATTTGCTTTGCTTCCAGAGGCGCCAGCAGTCAAGCACTACATACCATCTACTGCAGCTGCTGATGAACCCCGGAGATATTTGTCAACCATCCACACATTGGGAGGTTATTATATAGCTGCTCGTGGGTTTAGATTGGTGTAAAGCTGACCCTATTACAGATGTCAGACAGTTATTTTGTTATCAAAATTGTCCAATCAAAACAATTCGCTGACTGGCATGGCATGGTCGCTGTCCTTTGCACTGCGGGGATTTCTCTGAATCTCTTTCAGAAGGGTTTGTCTCTGCAGGCGTTCCCTGCATGAAAATCATGCACCCATTTAGGCTCATTGGACCCTCATAGCTGAAGAGACCCGCAAAACGGGTGGGCTTTGGACCGAACCAACCATGTAGGAGGCGGGTCGCTTCTGGGCAGAACACATACTTTCAAAAACTATATAGGGTGGGGGGGGCCTAGCGGAACTCACTGGCGTTTAAAAGATGATACATGATAAATGATGAAACATGCTTAAGGCTTCAAGGATAATTTTGACACAAACCTCGATAGATGTGTTTTCTTGTTCAGACCCTTCTACCGGTTTGTGGGACATACCGTGACCTACCGCTTCGGTCTCAACCGGGAGCTATCCGGAACTGGCATGCAGGCGATGGAGCTCTTGGGCACCAGTGTGCAAAACGGCGAGGAGCGGGCGATGCGTGATGCGTGTGCGTGACGTGCCTGGCTCAGGATGGAGCTTCATAGTCAAAAGGTTTTTAAGCCTTACAACGTTGGTTCGGGTTTAATGAGCCTTTGGGTTTGCGTCCAATGCCCAACTTAGCTGCCGTTCCGGCTGCCATGTTTAGTCACCCCAACCGGATGGAAATCTGCCCGAATGGGATCAGAATGGCCTTTGAAATCCTCTTTACTCCAACTGTCCCGTCGGCTTCGCACGGAGCGACCTTGGTCTCCATCCTCTCCCATCATTCAATGTGCTTCTCACATGTTAAAGGTGCACCATCCCTACCAGTCTGCCCCAGAGAGCTCATTGACCTGCAGGGTGTGTTGATCATGAGATGTCGGGGGGTGACCTTTCCAGGGAACTTTCGCTGCTCAACTGGCTGAGTGGGACGCGGAGTCGCCGTCGCCTCGGACGTCGCGGAGGACTTTCTGCAGTTTGGACTACGAGCCTGGCCGAAAGACGCTCAGTGGCCCATCGAGCGCTCCGGCCACTGGGCGAGAAGTGCGGCGTGGCGGCCTCCGCAAGGCGGTTCCGGTGCTTGCTTTAGTTTGATTGGATGTGAGGACTGAGGAAGAAACATGTCAATCTATTAATTGATTACAGAATACAGGTCCAAGAACCCAGGAGAGTACACAAGCCAGAGTACCTTGCTAGGGCTATGCTGGCTATGCTCCAATTTCTTGGATAGCAGTGGGGAAATCCTAGAAATGGACCAGACATACCTGAGCCTGAGCGTTCCTCACCTGCCATTGTTTTGGGTTGCTTGTGGTTCTGACCCATCCAGCATGTTGCTGTCATGTTAATGTTCATTTCATCAGTTTGTCCACCAATCTTTGTATAGACATAGATGACCTCAGGTTCCGAAATGGCACAGCTTCGGTTCTTCCAACTGTTCCCAACCAGTACCAGGGCCCGACTTGGGGTGTCCAATAATAGCCCTGAAAAGAGATTAAGGGTGGTGTCCATGAACCACCCCGACCGTAGGCCCTGGCCTTGCTGCAAGTTCTTTCCCAAACAGTTTGCCGGCCACAGCGGCTCTCTCTCTGAAGATGAAGAGGGACATCTTTTGATCAAACATCTTCACCTTGTCAGTGGCGTGGCTCACCCTCCCCGGATTCCAACCAAGTCGGGTTGCAACCGACCCGCCGGTCGTCGCTGAAAACGTCGCTGAAACGAGGTCAGCTGAGCATTTTCTTCCATCCCTTCACCCTTTGGAGTCTCACGGAGAACAACTACTGCCCCTTGAATGCCGAAAGCGGTTCTGGGACGAGTGCGGCCCAACGAATATGGGCCTGCGTCACCATATGTGTGCCAGGTGTTTGTATGTGTTGGTTTTGATGGAGGGTCACACACGTGGCAGGGTCACAAAAGAAGCAGCGCTCAAACGGGTGGTGGTTCCACGATGTGTCGATGCAACATGTGTGAAAGACCTGGCAGTTTCTGAAGTTTCCTGTCCCAACCAGAAACAAACTGAAGTTGCTCCAAAGCACCACTTGTTCTGTAAAAGGATCTTAGTAGCCAACCATTGGTTCCTGGTTGGGACTTGGTTTCCTGGCAAGTTTGATTGGATCCTCCTCAGTTCCAACAGTTTTGATTTTGGACTCTGGAACCATGGCGCAGCAGAGACTTCAAGTGATTTGTCCGGATACAGCCTGCCGATTTGTCCTTCTGACGGATTTGCAAGATGGGCTCTGTTAGAGGTCTTCGGAGGGAGAGAATTGGAGTCAGTCGAGGCCAGGGCTTCGTTGGAGGGGAGCGATAGCCATCGATAGCCGCTAGCCAGCCTTATATAAGAGTTTATCAACAGTTTGTGGAAAGTTTTTTTGGGATTGAAAGTTGCAGTACAGGGCACTTTCTATGCTTCTCCCCCATCTTCATTTACAAGATGAAAAACCACGACCTCTTCAACCGCCCAAGGCAGGAGTGCCCATCTTCTCCCAAGATGCGTGGTATGTTTTGTGTGCTTAACCTTCGCGCCTTTGAAGGCCTTCTTTGTCTATTGGAGACCCCCCTGACACCCTCATGAAGGCTAGGCCGCTAGGCCAGCGCTCTAAGGCTTGGCCATTTGTAAGGCTCCCAGCGGCCTGTCCTGCAATGATGGAAGAGGAGGCGGGCCGATGTGCACCGAAAATCAGAGCTGCTGGTGGCACAGGCTTCAAGAAAAAAACTCATAGTATATATATATAATATAACTATATATAGGATACTAATGAAGTACATTACATGAACAATAACTATATATATAGATAGATACAGGGTGCAGCCCATTACCAGTAACAGTCGGTAAACAATCTCACTATTTTGAGAAAGGCCGGCAACTGAACCATCATCCCAATGGGATACACCCAGACCTAGAACATCCCACTACAGAGTTCAAAACTGCATGCCTTCTACTCGCCTTCCAAAGCGAACAAGAGCTCAGTGACCTCAAACTGGGGCTGAAGTGATTCGTGCAATTGGAAGAACCTGCTACATCCAAGTCTATGTTGTTCTACCAACCATATATTGTGTTTGTTCATGGTATTTCCAATAGACTCTTCCCTACAGTATTTCCATTAGATTCAATGGCTAGTTTCAATATGTTTCAATTGAAAAGCCTTAAAGCTGTACTACCAGCTGTCCAACCTCTCAAGAACAAACGTGCCGCCTCAGAGCCCGGCATGGACCGACCCCCCCGTGCCGCCACACAAAAGGCGAGTTCGCGGACTGCGCGGTGAACCCCTTGGTGCGCACGCCCTTCGACAACGTCTTTCCCATGCAGAGGACGGCACCGACGGCGGGTGGTCCCGGTCGCCCCCGAACGGTTGAGGAGGGAGAGAGAGGGGGGGGGGGAATGCATCCGGGGAATGCATCCCCTGACCCCGGGTGGGAACCGATGAATTTGACACGGGTGGAACACACGTGAATCCACACACGCCAACACGCACGGTGTTCGTGATGGAAAGAAACCATCCTTCAAAGGAACCCGGCTTTGGGGTTCGGTTGTGGGTTTTAGGGTGGAGAACCTCCAGGGTGATTGGAATGGAGTTCAAGTTTTTTTTCCCCCCAAATAAGAGTATGCAGATGTAACATGACGTATCCAATTTCTTTGTTCCCACTGAGGTGACATGACATTGTCTCCCATATATATCCCTAGGGCTCCTGTCGTGCCTCCTCGGAAAGTATGACTGGACCCTCCTGGCACCCACCCCAAACACCTTCGAAACGCAGGTATTTGGAGCCCTAGCGTATTGTAGACGTTTGCCGAGTCGGGAGGAGGATAGTTTAAGAAGAGTGAGCAGGAATGAGCAGGAGTTGGCCTGGCAGAAGCAGACGTTTCATCAACTGCCATAAAAGAAGGCCATCAACGACGATAGTCTTATCCGCTTTTGACAATAATAGAAGTGACCGGAAACAGGGTTGGAGATAATTATTACTACTATAGGCTTTTGTCCCATGACCTGTAAGAGTCGGCAAACAATGAATCACTATTTTAGAGACTTTGGCCCTTTACTCACCATCCTCACAGCCAGCGCTCCGGCAGATGTTTGGTTGGGCTGCGGGTGCATCCGAACTCGCTCCGCCGTCCCGGCGACCGCGGAGGAACGTCTTGATGCTCAGCTACCCGTCGCAGATGGACGAGATCCCGCCGGAGCGCTTCGGCGAGGCGGACCGTTGGCGTGGCGTTGGGTGTTTTTCGGTGGTGGCCAAGCGGCCAGAAGAGTTCAGAATTGCATGGTGGTAGGGTATATGCTAGTGTAAAGGGCCACAGTACGTGAATGTAGACTCTTGATTACCCCTTCAAACATGGATTATAACACCTCTTCAGGCCTGGGGGTTTGAAATATCATCAAGACTCGTACAGTAAGTGAGCTCGATCTGCCCTTCTCAATGATCACCTCTGCCAGCAGCCCTCACCGTTGCCGCGTACGACTCTTGGCCACACGCGCGCGGAGCGATGCTCCGTTGGACCGTCACAGCATGACATGGCGCCTGGCTTCCCGGAGGAACTTGCCCTTTGTTCGTAAAGGAAGGTCGTTTTTACTATGGATCCACTGGCACCCTTCGAGGTACTAGGAGGGTCCAGTCGTACCGAACCTGAGGTACGGTAGATCCCCAGGGCTAAGGGGCCATCCTTCTCATCCACTTCCATGTGTCTTCAGAGTGCAACCCGTCGAGTCGGAAGATCGACAGGCTCATTTGCTGGAGATCTCTGAGCTGAAGCTGCCACAGGCGAGCGAGCGAGCGTGCGAGCTCTGGTGAGCTTTGGCTCGCGGCGAAAGCGAGAACCGGTTCCAACGCCAGGTGTTGCGGAACATCAACAAAAATATACAAAAATTGCACAAGGTCGGCACCAGCTTGCCCAAAAGGTTTCGGTTCTGTCATTGATGGTGTCATGTTCACACAACACTCTTTCTACAGGTCCAGTCTGACACGGGTCTCAGGCTGGTCCAGTTTCGCCCTCGAGTCGATTGAGTTGTAGTTTGTATGTGATCAACTCCAGTAGAATGAGGTCAACTCCTGACCTGACAGGCAAGTGGTCGTTTGGCATGCTATCAGTTCCTGACCTGACAGTTGCTGATTGGAGGGTCGGGGTGTGCAGAGGATCCACTTGGTTATACAATAGTTTCAAGAAACACCAATTTGGAATGTTTTGGAATTGGTGCTGGTAGTATTTGGTACTAAGAATCAACTAGTCGTCACTTTGGCTGGTCCTCCAGTCACTCCTTTCCCCAACCTGAAGTTCTTCCCATCGTTCTTCCAGGGCTGGGCTGAGACGCGTTTCCGCCAGGAGGGGTTCTTCACCCTACGGTTCATGGCGCAGTATCTAGCACCTCAGCCAGACCCAGGGTCAACGTTCACACCAACCGCAAGTGCTGAAGGTCCTAAGTTGCAGTCAAATGAATTTGTAGCATGTAATATAAGTGTAATATAAGCTTTCCATACGTTTTGAAAGGAATTCCGTCTTGCATCATATTCATCATTCGGATTTGACCGTATAGTTCGGTTCTCCAGCTCAAGTCCTTTCCGGACCTGGCAGCTTTGAAAAACCGATGAGAGGATTGGCACCAACTGTGGTTTTCAGGTTGAGGCTGTCCTGTTTCCGCACCAGGTTTTCAGGTCTTCACGGACCAGCTCGTCAGCTCGTTCCGTTCGTGCCCACCGTCCCCGGTGGACCAGTTCCGTTCGTTCCGTCACCGTCCCGACGGACGCGTTCGGTTTGCTTAAGAAAGAACCGGGGAAGCGAGGCGTCGACTGGACGTGTTCACTCCATTTGGCTTTTCTCGGGGAAGCTTCGAAGTCTCTGAAACGATCGATATGTGCTTCGATGAGGTGGGAGGGTGATCGATTACCACCCTCTCTATAGGGATCCGTACCTGGTCAGAAAGTGATTGGAGACTATTTATGTAGGCTTGGAGGGCCCAGTCGTCCCTTCTGAGGTTCGGTGGCGGTGGATCCCTAGGGCCTGATCACACGGAGTGGTGGTGAGTTTACAGGTCTGAGACATCAGCCCCCGCCGGTTCTCGCTCCCGTGTTCCGGTTCTCGGATCCGCCACATGGAACCCTGCCACAAATCCGAACTGCCCGGATCGCACTGGCTGGAGTCACTCCACCAGCTGGAGATCACTGGAGGCTTTCACATGTTTTTGTTGGCCCAAAAGAACCTTCCCAGACACTCCATGTATATATATATATATGCCTACATTGGGGTGGTTTGAGGGGTCAATATAGGTATATATGGCAGTCCCATGGAGTGTCTGGGCTTGAGTAACTGGAGGCCCCCAGAAACTTGCTTCGTGTTGGGGGTTTCGCCGATGCCCATCCACCAGGTGCTTTCCTTCCGGGCATGAACAAGTATAATACCAAGTTATATAGCAATTGTAGATCAAGGCTAGTTCAACCAAAGACAATGCATATATATGATTATGACTTATGTTCAGTAAGACTTCCCTCAGACTCCCTCCACACCGTCACTATGCCGTCCTCGTCTCGCGGCCTCGCCGAGGACAGCCGCGGCACCAACCCGGTGAACGCCCTGGTCTCGCCGCCCATGCAGCGGGTTCCGCAGCCGGGCACGACCACCGGGCGAATCGTGATGGATGGACAGACCGGAAATGGCCCCAGGCGGGGGTCCGGCAGGTCGGCGGTCTAGACCGCGGGGGGGGAGGGTTCGGAAGGGGGGGGTCGGTGGGCAGATAGAGGAGCAGAAGGAGGTTTGACACATTGATTCAAGTGAGGAAGGGCATGTGTCATGATTATATCGATCTGCAGCAGCATGTTGGGATCCATCTGAAATCTCATTTCAGATTTGGAAAGACTTCACCCGACTTCACCAGAAGTAGTTTGGTGCTCCAGCTGCACCAAGCTCGGGACAAAGACTGCAAATTGTTGCGTTGTCCTAGGGCTCCAGATACCTCCTGAGAAGGTGTTTGGGAAAGCTTTGGAGAGCCTACATAAGACCCTTCTTAAAGGCATTTGGAGCATTAGGGTTAATTAGCTGAGTTTCCAACATATGCTCACCACCCAAGAACTGTTTGTAGCCAGCACCGCCACTGTGGGGGTGCAGCCAAGTGCAGCCAATGTAACTCCACGACTCCCTAGGCAGCCAATGCGGAAAAGCCCACTGCGTCCAAAAGGCCGGTCCCGAAGATCAGAATCCAAGATGAAACCCGAGCACTGTGGCATGGAGGCCACACCGGTGGAAGACAGGATGGTCTGGATGGTTTGTGGCTCCGTGATGGGCTGCGTGAAGGGCCCACGGGCCAACTGTTCCTGAGAAGGAGTTTGCAGTGTGCAGATCTCAAGATCAACTGCAAGACTGATCTCAACATCATTGAGTCCCTCCAGCCGCTCGTTTTTCTAAGTATCATCGGTATCAAGCAATGCAGCCGTGCGTGCAACGGCATTCGTGGCTTTCGTGGCTTTCGTGGCTTCATCTCTCGCACCAAGACATCTCAGCGGCATCGACGGCGATTTCCATCGCCGGTGAAAGAATCCAACTCCGTGGAGCACACAGAGCTTCAACTCTCCCTATAGGGCTGAGGTGCCTCCTCAAGGTATTCAACTCTCCCTAGGGCTCCTGAGGTGTGCCTGGCGTGCCTCCTCAGGTTGGGTATGACTGGACCCTTTAAACCCACCTTGGAGCCGTAGGAGTCAGGACTTGAGAAGATGAGTCACAGCCACGTCGGTGCGGACGATCAGAGCGGAGTTCAGGGATGCGGAGATGCGCCCGTCTCAGAGATGCTGAAGTTGACCCCGCATCATTGAGGGCGGGTGGATGGTGATGAAAGATGTTACTCAGGTTTTCCACTGTGATTGAAGAAGCACAGGTTTTTAGTCCCTAGAGACCTTGAGAAACATTTGAGAAGCCATAGGATTCCAGGATTCAGTCTATTGGCTGTGATTATTTGTGATCCATTTGGGGAGATTCGTAGGTCATTGCAACCCACATCAGTGTAATGCATGCAATGGTTATTGACAGTTATTTCCTTTGTCTCTGGAGATGGTACTCCAATGTACTCCATATTCTTGTATTTCTTTTGAACCAGGTTACTCATGATCATACCTTTGGCAACGATATTTGGTGCACGGATGTGCACGCTAGAAGCCTCCAATCAGCAAAAATCGTCACTGCATTGCTTCGTAGCACCGTGCTCCAGGTTTGCGCGGCACGCACGCCCCACTCCATACCCAACACACGACCGATCCGCTCCGCGGATGACAGAGAGGAACCAAGAGAGGTTTTTAGTGACCTGAACTAGGACCCGTCACCTATAAGCTACCTAGTGGAACATAGTGGAACTATAGGCTCCTTCCAACCTCTTTTTCACCGCCTGAGTTGTCGTGTCCCGTGGTCAGGCCCTTCATCTTCGAGCGGGAGAACCTCCTCATCGTCCGCCTCCGCATCGGTGTCACCCTGCGGAGTGCGCAAAGCGACCGCCAGGAGTGGAGCCGAGCTCGGGACTCTGGTGGATGGACAGCGTAACGCGATCCAAACGGGAGGAAACAAGGCCTCCAATGGTGTGAGGGCTGAGGTTTTCTGAGCCACAGCCATTAATATTAGAATAGGAAGGATAGTAGAACATAGTAGAACACAACCCATCGGTGGAGGGGGTTCCATCTCAAAAGACAAATCCATATCTTTCGGGATGTTGATTAGCAGATACCTGGCATGGATGGGACAGATACCTGGAGGGCACGGGTAACCCGGCATGGTTTTGCTTAGACCCTGGAAGACGATCCCATGGAACCTGAACCCCCTGGTTGGTAGAGGAACATCGTCTTCCATGGGACCAGGACGTCAGGGTCTGTTAGTTTTCGGGAGTGTAGACCGGGTGATGTTGAGATGCTCCCGGAGCAGGAACGACCAAAGGTCGGGCAGTGACAACGCCTGGGAGCAGCGTTCTGACGGGCTGATCGATGCTGGACACCAACGGGCTCAAGCTTCAAAACCGGGTCCCAGCATGTAGTTGAGTATCTTATGACCCTGGGCGGTTGCCCCCCAATCCCTTGCAGACCAATCGTCGGAACCTTCGTGGAGATGAAGCGCGTCATGGGGCAAAGGACGCTCATGATATACCCATGCACTCTATGCATAGCAGAATATATTTAGCTACATTGGGAATCTTTGGCGTGGATGACCAGGGATCCTGATTTCTGTACATGGAGCTAACGATGGCCATGGGGCTGCCAAAGAGGCATCAGCCACCCAAATTGTCAAGATTCCACAATTGGTGGAACGTAGACCCCAGTTATCCTGAAGAGTAGCAGCACCAATTCGATCTTCTTGGCGTCATTGGTCTTTGATTTGTAGTTGTACAACTATAGAGCAAAACAACCTCCACTATCAGTTTATCCATGTGTATCCAGTGGAACCATCGTGTATTTCTTCACTATCAGTTTATCCTAGTTTATCCATGTTTATCCAGTCTTATTTTTTTGTTCCACTGGAAGCGCCCTTAGCCCATCATGTGTTTTCCACAAAAAAGTCCAAGGGCGTGGCTCGGTGAACCAGCGCGTCTCCGAGCGGAGAACCAGCGCGTCTCCAGGAGGAGAACGAGACGGAGTCCCTGGAGGAGGTTCCGAAGGTGGTGCCGCACCCGGTGGTGCAGAGTCTTGGCCGTTGCATGGATATATGTCGGGATCTATAGGGAATGGGTCTTGGAAGTGTGGGGATATATTATGGGGATTGGTGCAGAGTCTTAAATAGTTGGCTGGAACGTAGGGATTGATAGGGATTGGGCTTACCACCTGGTAAAGCTCCCTGGTACCATAGGCCAGGGGTGCGATGGTCATAGCTCCTCATGCCCCTTAGATCCCTACATATCCGGGCACCGGCCCCCGCCCTGAGGACCCTTTTAACCGAAAGGGAAAAGGATCGATGCGCGTATTTTGGCCTTCCCGTCTATAGTGTGTTTGGATGTTGTTTGGACGCAAGTCGTTTTCGCCTGTGGTGAGAGTTTTGCTCACAATGCCTTGCACTATCAGTGAATTTTGTTTTGCCTCTCGTCCTCTTCCTTTTCTCTCTTCCATTTGTTGTCCTTTCTGTTCATATTTCTGTTCCTCTTCCTTTGGCTCTTCCTCTTTCTCTTTTGTTTCTTCTCTTTCTCTTGCTGTTTCTATATGTGTATGTTCATGTTGTTCTTCTTTATGTTCCTCTTCCTGTTCCCTTCCTTTGCCTCTTCCTCTTCTTTTGTGTGTTTTCTTGATTGTGTGTTTTGTTTCAATTTTTATCTTGCTGTGTCTCTTCCATCAACTTTCCACCTCTTCCTCTTCCTCTCATACCGGCCGGTGCCCGGCTGACAGGTGCAAACATTTAAATCCAAAATTCCTTCCTATAGATCCCTACAATCCAAGACTCATTCCCTATGATTAGATCTCTACATATCACAATCAGTTCTCCTTGCTTTAGCAAAAATGTATTACAATCAGGAGTTGGGATTGTGCATTGAGTTTCGTCCTGTAAGAGTTGATTCTGTTCGTCGGGGGGGGCCCCCCCCCCCCGGATCAAATCCCCCCTGCGCCGGTTCACGCCGTCATGGACTTCTACCAGGGTTGACTATACTTGTGATTGCCTGCTACCTTTCGTTCACCCCCTCCTCTCTCAAGTCCAAGACTCATTTCCTATGGATCCCTACATATCCAAGCCTCATTCCCTATGATTAGGTCCCTACATATCCAAGACTCATTCCCCATAGATCCCTACATATCCAAGACTCGTTCCCTATAGACTTGCTGTTTGCTTGGAAGATCGACCACGCACGGGAAGATGACAACGAGTGTTGCATGTGTTTGTTTCCTGTCGATCTCGCGTGCAATTCGCGCGCAGTATGTTCAGCTGAAAGATTGTCCATGTCTGACATCAACTTGGCACATCTTCCCAACCATAGATCAGAAATCACAGGTTCATCCAAAAATTTTTTTGGATGGTTAGGGTTGAGAAAAACCGAATCCCGGTTGAGTGGCATTGAGTCTCAGATTTTTTGAAGAAGACATACACTATTGACGCCGCCACCTTATTTCTTTTGTAGTGTCTGGTCGATGGCTGCATTGTTCTGACTTTAATGGATTAGTAAGACATAGATAGGTAGTTGCTTTGGTGTAGGAAAATTCTTCACTTCAGGTCCAGGGATGCTTGGACATGCATGGAATAAGTTTGGAAGAAACTCCTGTGGCCCATGCAGAGTTGGAGGAAACCTCCCATGCCGGATTTCACTTTTATCATGCCAAACATGGCCAAACCAATCAATCTTGGTCGCACCTTTTGCCAAGTCCATCTTACAAACCTTAAAACATGCAAACAAAGAAACCTAGATACTAGATTGATGCGTGCTGCTTGCTGGTGTCAGGATTTTCTTGCCCCCAGACTACTTCTGCAGCGTGGTGGGCAACGGCACCGCCGACCCAGACAACAGCTCCGACATCTTCGTTTGGGCGCTGAGAGCGGAGCTGGACAAGGGACAGGACTGGTGTGAAGCTAAACTGGGATGGAGCAATGCTCTCTAAGATGTGTTGGGGCGCAAGAATAGCAGTTCCATGTTGATGTTGACTGGAGGTTACAGAGAATGTTTACTTTTTTGTTGCGGGCAGGAAAGGGGGAGGATCTCGCCGGTTGATGCAGCAATAGGAAAAAGTTGGAGATGTCGGACATGAGCACCGCGGCGTCCAAGACGCCCAATTCGTTGGAGGTGGTGGGGAACTCCATCCACTCACCAGATGGATTAAGCAGGCAAACCACTTCAATTTGGTGCTCCTGGCAAGTTGTGCTTCAAGATGACTTTCAGGAATGAGTTCATACTAGTGGCTGTCAGAGCTGTGGGTGGTTGATCTAGCTCTCCCGGGGTTTGGTCATTCCATTTGGTATCTTGAAGTCGGGCAGAGAGGACAGGTGGTCTAGTTGTTCACACACCTGGAACTCCTGGAAGGTGGTCGGGGGGTTGGGGGGTCTAACTACCTTCTGAGGATGTGAGGAGCATGTTGGAGCCCTAAAAAACATGTTTAAAAACAAAATCCGATGCCAAAGGAGCCGCTGGGGACCTGAATTCAAAAACGTATAGTCAGTCGATAGCCTTTAACATCCTTTAACCTTTTGTTGGGGATTGGTTTCTCCATGGTTTTCCCCACTAAAACAAAAAACAGGTAGAGTTCGTTGGGTTCCCCAATTCGGGTCACAAAGCTCCTCCGGTCACTGCTGTCGCTTTCGGGTTCCTCAAGGTTCGGGACTTGAACAACGACGGCTACGTGGACAACCCCATGGGGACGGTACTCTCAGGCGTGGGGGGTGGGGAGTAGAAGATTGGTAAGGCTGCGAGTGGATCGTTCTTTGCATGTCCAGTCCTGTCTAGACTGTCAGAGTGGGAGCCTGGACGTTTCCGGGAGATTCCACAGTAAAGAACCTTGCAACAGAAGCTGCCCAAGTGATTTTGGTCCAACTGGGTTTTCTAAAGACTGTTCTACTAGTCAAGTCTACTCCGGAATTTCCAGGCACCAGGACCTTTCAACAAATGACAGAAAAGAACGTGTATGCCGTGACTTCTTCAAGAGCAAATTGACCTCATTCTGGGATCTCAAAAGGTCGAAGCTAGGGAATAACATGGATGCAGTATGATGCAGTATCATTTGGTAGCGCACTTCAGTTGATTTTGATGCAACCCACCGGGTGCCTGGCTCGGTTTGGGCCGCCTTGCCGGCTCCGTCGCCGCGGCTGGTAGGCACATGGTCACACGATGGGCCCATTTGCACCTTCACATTGGCCGCTTGGAGCACGAGGTGATCGGACTCTGCCAAAATTTCCTGGGGGCCTTTTTTTTTGCTCCTAGAAAATGAACAACATATCTCATTAAGACCCTGACTTCAAGAACACAATCACAGTGATTTACTACACAAAAGGCTTGGCCGAAGATTCATTCAAATTCAAGATTCTTTAGAATGGATTCCGGAGAACGATGTATGTCCTTCAATTTAGGCAATGTTCACTATAGTGAGACTTGGAGTTTGGAATTAGCAGGGCATTGTGGCAATTCTCAGGTAGTGGAAGTGCAAGGGCTTAGAGACTTCGCTGGTTTTCGATTAAAGACACGTTTTGGCCAAGTCTCTCAGGAGACCTCCCTGCGGATCCACCTTCTCAGAAGGTACGACTGGACCCTCCAAACCTACATAACTAGTGTCTCCAATCACTGTACCTCAGAGGGTGCCAGTGGATTTGCAGGGATTTGCTGCCATGTTCAACCGAACGCGCTTTCATTCAAAGACATCGTAGATTCTGCTGAGCAAGCATACTTCCAGGTTGATGGTTCATGTCGTTCGTACGGATCAGCTCCGATGACACTCCGTCCCATGCGGTTGTCTTGTGTGGCATCGACCATCCTTCATAGACTTTCTCTCTTCCCTCAACTTGTACATTGCTTCGAAGACCCACTCGGATCCAGTTTTGATCAATGCACTCTGATTGGTTGTGACTGAGACTCTCTGCATTCCCCGGTGTCAGCGTGCTCAGTCCATGTAAACCGCTCTGTGTTAAGTGGCTGTGTGTCAAGACCCGGGCACCCTTGTTGTCCCCTGAAAATGACCCCAGGTCACCTCAAAAAAGGGATGTCAGCCTACCATGGTTTGGAGGACAGGTGTTTTGGACTCACAAGCAAGTGTGTTTCTTGACCCGGAGGTGGTAGTTGATGAGACCTCCAAGCACAGCTGTTGAGACCTCCAAGGCTCGTACCCTTCCACGGACGATCTTGAACCATTCCAACAAATCACCCACGATCGACATCACTTGAGATGAAGAGACGGACGGGCCCAGGGCGGTGTTTCTGGATGTCTTATGGTTCTGAGAGAAATGTCTCATAGGTCTGAGGGCATAAGGAGGTCAAAGACCAAGTTTGGACCTGGCTCAGACTGGACTTGTCGGGTTTGCTGCGACGACGTCGACAGAAACCGAGGAGACTTCTGCCAGCGTCTTCGCCCAGCAAATCTTCTACGTGCGCCTGTCAGTGAACAACCCTCGCCAGGTGCGCCTGGTGTCGTCAGGTTTTGATCAATCCTGGTTGCCTTTTTTGCGCCTCTATGCAATGATTACACATATAATTTGACATAGACGAATTGGTTCAACTCTAACTCAGAGTTCATTGTTTTTTTCTTTTAATATCTGCATCTGGCCTTTTAGGGCCACTCGGATTCCAGCCAGGCCAGGCGCTCTTGTAGGTATATTTGTTGAACGATGCATGACCAACTGAGGCGATCAGCACAAAGCAACGGCGCGAACCATCGCACAACCTCAAGTTGAGTTCCTCCACGTGGTCCAACACTGCATGATGCAATCCGCCCCATCGCCATCCATCTTATTCACTTGATACATGCACGCATGGCTCTACTTCGCTCGAAAAAAAACAAAAAACGGAGAGACTCCCTGCCCACGACTGCTTATTTGGTGTTTTTGGGGTTGGGGATGGTCATCCGTCCGTTCGTACCTCCGGACGGCACCGGACGGCACGGGACCGTCCGGACGGCACGAGGCCTTGCTGCGCACCGATCCAACGAACTTGTGGCGCATCCGCGTGGCCGGCCACTGGGGCAGTCGGTTTCTTTAAGGATGCGGGGTTGGAGGCAGAGTTTGGTCCGAGCAGATCAAGGGCAAGTCTAAATATTATATATAGATAGATAGTGGATAGAATTAGATAGGTCTAGATAAATAGATAGATAGATAAAAAGATAGATAGATAGGTAGATATAGGTAGATAGATAGATAGATAGGTAGAGATAGGTAGATAGATAGATATCGATAGTAGATAGATGCCAAGAACCCAGACATGACCTTTGTTTTACAAGAAAGGACTATGTTTTGGCTGCAAAGTAGTGTCGCTGAGGTTCAATGCTGTGTTCGTTTTGGGGGGGACCTGGCATTGTGTATTTTGATGACCTCCATATTGAACAAATACAAGCCGTGTGTCATCATGCAACTGAAGGACCCTGTCTTCCAGGTGGTTGTTATCTCCTTTGTTGCGAGGGCAAGCCAACACGCCTGCTATATGGCTGAACTATTCAAATGAAAAATGAAACCACAAATCGACGAATGAAGCCACAAGATGCGTCTACGAGTCTACGATAAGCGTAGCTCCGGATCGAAGGAAGAAACATGTTTGATGGATTTTGATGGTCATCATTTTGAGGAAAAAACAAGGTGTCTATACTATATACCAGGACCAACCCAGAGATGCTGTTATTGCGGCTCTGTGCAATGTCTAGACACCACTGTTCCCTCACACAAAGGGAACAAGGGAACATAGGCCGCCCTGTCTGAAAGATGTAGTAGGGATCCTCCCATGTTTGAGTCAATCATAGTTAAGCAAATCATTGAATCTTCAGCTAGGACCTTGTGTTTCCACATATGTTGGTCCCAACTTGGGGGCATCCTCATCTTCGTCTTCTCCCGACTGTTTCCCCACCTGCCAGGCGAGGTGTTGTTAGATTGTATCACACCTTCTTGGTGATGAAGCAGCCGTCGGCTATATATATATAATATACAGCATATCATGCCGCGCGGATCACTGGAAGTCAATTGACTTGCTAGCAAGTCTTCTTCTCTTTCAGATGCTGGGCTTGCCGCCGCTGCGTCCCACCACCCCCTGAGGCATGAACAGCACCACCCTGGGAGACCTGGTGAATTTCATCTCCTTGGACCAGGCGTCGACCGAGGTCGTTCGGACGACAAAGACCGGACGGCGAACGGGTCCCACAAACCCGACCGGACGAGCGGAAGACAGAACGCGAAGGGATGCGAGGCGTTTCGGTGAGGTCTCTCAGATCTCTAGACTTGGAAGACGGCTGGTCTCAGGTCTCCAGACTGCTTGTTGAACCAAGGATGTTCTGGTTCTGGTCGAGAAGATGTAGACCTTAACCCTAGGGTCTCGGTGGTGTAGCAAGTTGCAAGTCACATCCAAAATCGGAGACCGGAATCCAGCAAGCACCATGAACGTTCAGGAAACATGACAACCACCCAACCGCCCGCTGGGCTGCCATCCACCCTAGCCCGCTGCCATCCGATTAGTTGCCGTCCCGAACTCCGGAGCACCTGGGTGGATTGATTGGCATCAGAACTCTTGGAAGAATGTTGTCTATTTGTCTAACAGTTTATGTAGGATTCCATGTTTAGGGTGACAATCATGGCATGGAACTCTTAGGAACAGCGAACGGAAAAGAACTCTAAAGGGTCATAAGAAACAGGGTTCCTAACTAGCTCTAAAAGCTTGTATACTTGTATAAATAGCACAGTCACTATAGTCGTTGGTTCTTCATGGAAAACCACTTATATTTATATATATATAATATATATAGTTCGTTTGTTGCCGACCTGAACTCCCACAGATTGGAACACCACCGGTTGCTTCCTCCCTTACCACCGTGCAACGCGTCCTCTGCTCACGTCCTTGTTGAGCGGATCGATCGACCTGGCAGGAGCCCAACTTGCCCGGCTGGGCCGGCAGCTTTGGCTGAAGATCATGCAGCAGATGTGAATGAGGTACTTTTTCAACTGCACTATATACTGAAATACAGTGACACACACAGATATATATATATATATTTATACCAGCTGCTTCCAAGGGGTCTTCATTTTTCAACTACACTGAAATACAGAGACACACGCATATATATATATATATAAATGTTCGTATGTGAAGGCAAAGCACACTACACGAGGGCTGTTATGTTGTAGAATGAAAGGGGGGCATTGGCAAACAAAAGACTGCGATAAACATCCATAAACCGTGGTTTACCATATTTATCCATTAAAGTATGTTTTACTGGTCCTCGCTTGTAGTTGTACCGTATGTTATTAGGCCCCTGGCCTCGCTCGGTTTGGTCTATTTTTGGACATGTCAGATTTCAACCAACCTTCGACCAACATGTACAACGCTCTGTTTGGACAAAGTCGGATCTAATGAGGCAAAAAGTTAGGGCAATTGGCCAGGGTCATTCCGAAGCTATCGAATGACAGGACATGACAGGACCCTAACAGTAAGCCCTGGCCATAAGATATGTATACTATATTATACTATACTTTTTTTCGAAGTGTGTTTTGGATACGTTTCCAATATCAAGGAGAACCTGTATGGTCACCTGATTTGACTGGTAGACCCCCCTTGAAACATGCACATCCCAGACCATCCATGGGACTGGCATATATGCCACCCCATTGACCCTTGCAATCAACTACCCCAATTGATTCATACATGGATGGTCTGGATCTATTTCTTGCATGTGCTCTCCCCAAGGGATAACATGAAAGGCGGAAAGGGTCAAGAGGTGGGCAAAACAACATAACGCATGGGTATAGTCAGTACTTGCTTCAAACCATGGGTATAGTACTGTTCATGGGTATAGTAGTCCTCATAGATGGATGGTCTTGTTTTCTGGATCTATTTCTTCCAAACCTTTGGGCATCCAGACCGCATTCGCTTGCTCCGGTCGACGTGGCCGCCCAGGCAATCTGGCGGTGCTGACGCCGCTGGAGGGCGAATCGCTGCAACCCTCCAACCTCTCGGCGGGCGCAACGAACTATCTGAGCGTCTTCTTTCAGGCGCCCAAAACACAAAGGTTGCTTCATTTGCGAAACGATAGCAAGAAAACAGAAGCCGTTCTTGGATTTCTTTTCAGAGCCGTTCTTCGAACGGTGTCTTAGAACCAGGGTGTGATGTTCTTGTGTTTGATTGAAGCCGGATTAGGACTGAGCAAAAAATAGATTGGTTTGAGATCAGAGTATGTCCACTTAGGGGCTCACGGTGTTGGAGTTGGTGTCATGTTCCCCATGAAGCCAATGATTCAAGTCTGGCGCATGAGGCAACCACGTTTGATATGTGTACTGTATGTGATTTTATGTGTTTCAGTTTAGGTTTATATGTGTTTTGTTTTGTGTGTGTTTGTTTGGCAGACCTGTACGTATGCTTTTGCCAAAAGGAAAAAATCGGGTGTGACAAATGCTGACTTAGACTTGCCTGAAATTCTGAAAACACATCCTTTTTCCATGCCGGGTCACTTGGTAGAAGTTTTTGTTCAAGGAGAACATCAATACTCCCATTCTGATGGATTGATTCTGATGAATGCTTTTTCCATGATTGACCTGTTTTCTTTTCACCAATTCATTCCTTTGACCCGGTGCTCACCGCTCCATCCAGGTCATCCACGCCATGCCGGAGTCTTTTGCTTCGCATGGTGCGGACGTCGTTCGCCATGCGGCGCCTCCGGGCGATCCGGTGGCCGAGTCAATGCCGGGCCTGTTGAATTCGTTAGTCCAACTCCAGGACATGAAGGGACGTTGTTTCGTTATGCTTCGGAGGTTTGGGAAAGATCAGGGAGTTTGGAATGTTTTACATCAATATTTGATACCTTCTATACTCACTGGTAGCATGTATGTGTGTTTTTCCCGCAAATGAAAGGATTTCGATGCTCTAGAACTAGCAACGACCAGCTCGGAGCCGCCGAAGGAAAGTTTCAAGAACGGAGGCTAAGAGTGCCAACCTGTGGACACAGATGGCCTTTCTCGGACACCATTTTGGTGCTTGTGGTGGCCGTACTTGATAAAGAGTGCCGAAGCACTAAGACGATCAGCACTCTTTGCGTACTTGATCAGCTGGCTTTGTACTCTTTATTGCCCCTTTTCGACTTTGTCTGACGATTCTCGCCTGAGGTATTCCTACATCCTTCTTGATTCGCCAGATGGTTTCGACTTCACTGACAACTGCAGTGTGCCCTTGGCAGCATCGGGTCTTGCCGTTCCCCGTCAGAAAGGTTACAGAAGCTGGGAACCATGCTGATTTACAAGCGGAGTGATTGTTTTGATGTGTTTTCTCATTGCTGGTGGCGCATGCAGCTAGATTCGATTCTAGAAAGTGTCTTTGCTTTTATCCGGCAAGGGGGAATCTGTCACAGGGCACTGGTCTGGTAAATTGGCGTTTGCAAAATGCTGCAAGTCAAGCACTCTTGGATTCTACTCGAACCACTCAAAACAAACTGCATATACCATTTGTTTTGCTAAGTGAGCACAGAGGTGAGGCAGGTGAGGTGCTTTGCTGACTTCAGAGGAGCAGGACAAAGAGTTGATTTGTTGGGTGCTTGGGTCTTGACCAAAGCGCATGGATCCAAGTCTCAGACACAACCGATGGGACTGGCATATTGATCAGGCCAGGAGTGTTTTACCTTATTTTTTATCCGTTCACCGGTGAATGGGATGGGCATATATTCCAGTTCGTTCCGCATCTATCTCTGGGACTGTTGGGGAGAAGAAAACACGCTCTCAGGTAAGTCCACTGGACGACCTTTACTATCAGGATTGGGAAGGCGCGGTGCAGCGCGGGACGCGAAGCGCAGCGCGGCGTTTTGGGCCGCTTTTTTTCGTTTCCGGCTGTGGATGGTACGGAGGGCAATGGATGAACCACCAAAGCTGTTACTGCATCACGGGGTCCTGGGAATCCTGAATTTGTATGCATGTTGCATGACACCACTGAGTTACTGCGACTTTTTGGTGTTTAAGGTGTCAGATGGTGTCAGGTGGTGGGCCAAGATGTCTTACTTGTCACAGCCTGCACGGCCTGCAGGGTCTTGAGAGTGCTGGCCTTGATGGCGGAAAACCATCCACTGACTCCACCAAGCAACTTCACTCAAAGCAACTCAATCACATACTATCGCCTTCCCTCACATATTACTGTATCACCTGCTCACACACTTGGCCCACTTGGCATGAAGACAAGAAACACCGGCGAGCGCTTCGCGCTGCGCCAGGTTTGCCGTGGGGCGAGACGGTGAGCGGCACTCGAGCCCTCACCAGCTCCTTAGGCTCTGATGTGCGCCTTGGATAAAACATCGGCGGGAATCGGCTGCCCTTTGATGAGCGAAGATGGAAGGTGTTTTTCTGTTTGACCTGTAGATCTATATGAGGCATGGAAGAGTATAGTAAACTGCTAGGAGTTAGAATATCAAACATATCAAATTGTCCATATTACTTTATTGTATAGCCTTATGGAGTGTCTGAGATATTTCAGTGAGAAAATGGAAACAGTATGATACTGCACTCAAAAGTTTAAAGCCTTAAGGTAGTCTCTTCCTTCGGCAGAAAGGGCATGCCATGTCCTGTTGACCTTCCATAGATGCATTCTATGGAGTGGTCATGTTCTGAGGAACTGCACCACGGACAACTGGAAGCGCAGCGTGTTGTCGCCGCCGGCCACCCGGGACTTCACCCGGGCCATCGTCAGAGTGGGGAGGGCGATGCTCTCCAACAAGTGAACTGGAGAGAAGTGGGTGCTCTATGGGCGGATGTTGATAGCTGGCGGTGGAACAATCCACGCACAAATGAGAAGCCAGAAGCCAGACAGTGGGTGAGCAGTGGCTTTTGGGGGCTTTGGGTGATTGGTGGGTTGATTGCAGGAACTTGAATTTTTTGAGGGGTCGCACCTCAGGTGTATCACCGACATGATGTGCACGTTCGACCTGACAGTCTGACAGTGAGACGCCCTGTAGAACTGTACATCCTTGCTTCTCAGCTTGTTCCTCACTTTTGGCCGATCACTTCTGTGCCATGCATGCTTCTTCGGTCCTCGACGGGGTGGTTGTTAAGCTTGCCTGGTGACGTGGCGTTTTCAGTTGTCCGCGGACGGACTGAGGTACTATGGCTTCCAGATTCGCATTCAAAATGCATTGGACTCTGGGCGAGACGCCGATGGAGGGGGGGTGACGGACCCGAGACGGGAACCCCGGTCTCTTGAGGAGGTCCGGACTGCGGAACCTGACCACAAGAAGTATTGGAGGGTGGACCCAGGTGTGTGGACAGACTAGGTACATGTACCAGCAACCCTCTAAGGGTTGCTGCGGAGGTGACTTGTTGGATCTCTCCTGAGTGGGATCCCTTTGAACGTTGAGAAGTTCTAGACAATACAGTTTTCGTTGTTGTTGTTGTTGCTGCTGCTGCTGCTGTGGCTTTTGTTGTCCATTATCCATATGTGTGAAGATTCGCTACTTCATGGGTGCATCCCAGATCTGAAGCCTGAAGCCGTCAACTAGTCGTCTGCAAAGACAGCTGTCAGGACAAGAATTATGTTCCAGCAGTCACAAAGGGGCGCTTAATGGAGGTTAGGGGTGCCCAGAACATCCACTCACTTGGGGACTAAACACCACCCCTTTGTGACTCCTGGTTGCTTCTTTTCTGGATTTTGTGTTTCATTTGGTTTTGGTTGAGGACCGCGTTGGAAGGCAAAGAAGCCCATTTACTCAACCATGAGGTGGAACTGAGGCCCAAATCGAAAACCTACCTTGTGAAAAGGGCGAGTTGTTTTTAATGTTTTTGGTACATAGCCTCACTGGTCGTTGAAATCTGAAATTCGTTGTAGTCATGGTCATGGTGGTGGTACTAGCAGTATTTTAAGTGGTAGTAATAATAGCAATCAGCAGTAGTAGTATTGGTACTGCTACTGCTATTGCTACTGCTGCTGCTACTACTGCTACTGCTGCTGCTACTACTACTACTACTTCTACTTTTACTTCTATACTGTTATGCTTCTACTTCTCTACTTGTTGTTGCCGTTGCCGTGTCATTCCTTTGGTTGACCACTTGAGGAATGGCAGGCCGCACACCATGATGACTGGCGTTTGTGGGTTCAAAGCCCTGAAGGATACACTGCGCCTCGTCTTGCGTTGCGTTTTGGCCCCGACCCTGTCAGTGAAGCAGACGGAACTGGAGAAGCTGGCCCTGCCAAAGGACCTGATCATGATTTTCACCTCATCAAATGGCCTCTGGGATGAACCCTTTTTTTTTTAGGCCGTTGACTTTTTGGTGATTCTCAATGCATCAGAAGAAACAGAAAAGGGACATCAAGGTTTTGTTGGTGGCAAACGTGTTTCCTGCCATATCTCTTCTACGCACATCAACCTCTAAGAAGCCTGGCTCCAGCTAACTGGTTGCAGCGCAAATGAGCTTCCCTATAAGGCTCCAGTTGTACCTCCTCAGGTTCGGTATGACTGGGCGTTCCTGGCACCCACCGAAACGAAGGTACGACTGAAGCCCTAGCGCATATCATCTGTGGCGTCGGCCGTTTGAAATAGAGGGACCTTTCTAGGTCTTGACCTACACAGGCTGATGTCACCACCCGCAGCGTCGCCAGACAAGAAAAAAGCAACAACCGACACTCCAAAGGCGATCCTGAAGGATCCGAAGCAACTGCTACACCCTGGAAGACGCACATGGAACCTGAAAATCCCTGGTTGGTAGAGGAAAATCGTCTTCCATGGGACCAGGACGTCAGTGTCGTTCGTTTTCGGGAGTGTACATGTTTTGGTCTTCGGTCCATCATTTCACCCTATACTGTCGGCGACAGCGATGAAGTGAGTTCGGCCGCGTGCTTCGGTCCACTTCACCCTATACCGGGACCCAGAGAATCCACACCGCCACCGAAAAAGAAGCACCGCCCCAGTGCATTTTATCCGCAATGACGGATGCTGTGCAAAACCTGGCAGACAGGTGGATGGATCCAAGTACACCATCCAATTCAACGCCAGGCGAGGGGCGACGAACCGACGGTACTGACGGTGAAGGTGACCGGGCGGCGGTACTCCCAAGTGAGCTAGGCGGAGGTGGCCTGCGGGGTATGGCCTGGTGTATGGCCTTGGGGGTGGTTCTTGTTTTGGCCTGAGGATGGCAATTCACCTGGGGGGTGCCTTCTTCTTCTTCACCTGGGGTATGGCCTTGGGGGTGGTTCTTGTTTTGCAAGGAAGAAGAAGGTGAATTGGCACCCTCCGAAATCCCGGGAAGGATTTCGAGTTGACCGTGCCGACGGGTTCGACCTTCGTGTCGAAGGGGTGACTGGCTTTGGCCAAGAGATAGGGCGTCTTTGGAGTCTTCCTGGGCCCAACATGAATGGTTTTACTCAGCAACTATTGTTTGACTACCAGCACCACCCAAGGGGTGGTTATTATATGTTATTATATAGATGAAACATATATCTTCAGGGGGGGTAGCGTAGTTGCTGACATTTTGATGGTTGACCCGCTGTCAATGTAGGCATATCTTCTAGTCCCATGGAGTGTTTTGGGACTACAAAATAGCCACAAACATCCATAGGACGGTCCGAATTGCGATGGAGTCGTCCGAATCGCTTCGTCCTGAATGGCAGCACTTGTTCTACATGTTGATTGATCGAATGCAGTCTGCATCACTGGATGTCGTTTACTTTTTAGTGGGTGATTCTCCAGTGAAGTTGTGGATGTTCAGGAGAATTAGTGCTTCAACATTTCTTGTCATATTATGCAACAGAAGATTTCATGCTTGGTGTTCAAATTTCCCTGCCCGCCCCCCAACACCCACAGGTACTCTTTGTTTGTTTCATGTGATTCGCGTTGATGGGAGCACTGCAAAGGAGTATGTCGGTCTAGTAGGGTCCCAAGATGATCTCATCACACAAGCTGTTTCTATTTTGCTTAACAGCGATGGCCTCCAACCATACTAGAGTCGCCTCCAACCCAATAGCGACTGGCTCAGGAATGTTACTGGAGTAGGCATATATGGCATACATGGAGTGTGTATATATTATATATTTAAGGGAACCCTTCCATCAATCGGTTAGGGTCTTTTTTCCTTCTTCCAGGGTGTCAAACGAGGCCTCCACAATGCACGCCCACATGGCTGTGGTCACTGGTCATTACCCCCACTGGCTGCGAATCCGGAGTTTTACAACCAGCAGCACCGATCTCACAGACACATGAAGGGGATACTGTAAGTGGCCGAATTGTTAGACCAGCTTCCCAACTGACTCGAAATTCCAAGTAATAAAGCAATAGATTTAGAAGTGCATGGTATATACAGTCTATTATACTATATGTATATGGTGTGTCACATGAGGACAAGAAACCACTCCTGAAAGAACATGGGCCAGTCTCCCGGTTTCAGTGAGCAAAAAGAGACCAACAATGGTCAAGCGGGAGTCGGTCATGCGTGCACCTGTAGAGTTATAGCCTCTCTAGAAGAGTCAATGTACTTCTTGCTACCAGTTGCTTCTTGTTACTAGTAGCGATGGCCTCCAACCTAGTAGCTTGTTGTTACTGTAGCGATGGCCTCCACCCTAATAGCGATGGCCTCCACCCCAATAGCAATGGCCTCCAACCAAGTTGTATTAGAGGCAATGTGTTCTTCTTTCAGTTCTCACCGCCATGTGTTTCTCTTAGGGACACCCTCCGAAACCACCCTCCCATTCCCACCGCTCTCCTCCCACCAGGCGGATCGACACCTTGCCGCAGAACTACTGGGTGCCTAGAAGCGAGTGGCCGGTGGGTCCGAGCACCGGACGGTGCCGGTTGTGTGAGCTATGGATGTGGCTCCCTAAGTGAGAGCTGGGGAGGTAGTTCTGCTAGGTGGGCTAAGGATGTAGTTCGCTTGTGTCATGTTTTTGGGCCTGTGATTATTAAGTCTATAAGGAAACACACACACAGACCAGTCCCTAGTCCCTAGGTCTAGGTTGGTCAAGTAGTTTTGGTTTCTGGGGACCAGCCTGAGCAGAACGACCCCAAAGCAGATTTGGAAGCTGAACAAGCATGGATGGCCTCCCTTTCAGTGTCAGGGTATAGACATAGACGATGGGAACATTCTGCTGCTGCTGCTGCTGCTGCTGATGATGATGATGGTGATGATGATGATGATGATGATGATGATGATGATGATGATGATGATGATGATGATGAT